CAAAGAGGCTAATAAAACCCTGACAGACACAATGCAGTTCAATTAACAGAGCTTTACCCTACTATAGCATTCCTCTTTTTAATGGGAAAGCGCAGAGGAAATGGCTGTGGGACGCCTCAGGGAGAGTTTATAGTCGCTCATACTTCTGTCTGTTTTCACTGATTCTTGTTAAATGTGGATGAAAAATATTCCCCTATTTCAGCAAAATTTCTTTCTTTCTGCCCCCACCCCTTTTCTGTCTTTGAGCTAAAATTATGACTCTTTCTCCCTTGCGGAATTAAACTTAAGAGTGCCAGAAGAGTGTTTAAATGGTTATTTTTCTCTCGCACACACATTCTTTATGCGGAGAGAGGCTTTCATGTTTTCATTCTCTCTCTCGTTTTCCTTTTATCTTTTTTGGTGGGGCTGATTTTCCTCTGGCAGGACACTGCAAAAAAAAAAAAAAAAAAAAGAAGAAAAAAAAAAAGAGAGAGAGCGATGCTTGCCTTTATTCTGGTCCACACGTGGCTTCACTGTCTCTCTGTGCACTGTGCTGGTTGGTCTTGTGGTCAGATATCAGTGCAAAGAGATCAAAATGAAGCTTGTTGTTTCATGGATTAAGGTGATAAATCTAGCACAGCTGGATCTCAAGAGGATAAAATCTGGATTTAATTCAGTTAAACTAAAGTGTATAATTACATTTATACACTTAAATGTGGTGGCATCACTGTAAAAAGCCCCTTTTGGAACCTTTATTTTTAAGAGTGTATCCTATATTTCCAGCTAAGCCATTTAAAGATGATTTTCGGCAAATGACGTTGCAGCTTCACACACAATTTTTTTGTGCTAACATGTGAATGGAGGAAATGCGTTATACAATCATATGTATAAATGACAAATGTGGTACATTCACCGCAAAAGACAATTTCACCTCAATTTATGAAGTACAAGACTGCTTTTGTTCAGAGATAAAGGCTAAAGCCTGCTGACACAACAAACACGCGCCCACGCTTCCCCATCACAATTCTTGAGAATCTAATGATAGACACATGTCCCAGGAAGCAGATCAAAACCTTTGATTACTAAAACACACACCCTGACCCAATGCAAAACATTTCAGCAGTATCCACCCGAAAACTGCTGGGTTTTGGAAAAACAAACATTCAAACTGTGTCTGCAGTTTCAAATTCCCTACTGACTTATATTGACACACACCAAGTCAACACAAACAACCAGAGAAAACTCTTCCTCTAGGTACCTGATGCCCACAGTCAGAAATATCTTTAGTCAACCTTTTTGAAAAAGAAACACACACATACTATGTGTGTATAGACCATTTTGTAAGATGTAAACAACACTGGTCCAGAAACACTTCCTGCTTCAGTTTGTAACTGTTTTCTTTATTTCACATGTAAAACATCTTAAAGAAGTTTTATATGTTCTGTTGGTTGTATTTTATCCCAGCTTTTATGTAGAGTTAAAAAACTGAAACAGTCTTTTTTTTTTTCAAATACAATTTGATTAGACTGCTGTGATTTTATAATTACTATTATTGTCTAGTTAAAGTATGGATAAAGTGTAATGCCAAATGTACTGATTTATGGACAACTTAAATATAATGAGATTTGTATTGAAACGTTTATAAGGTAAAAACTGTTTGTATGGATGAAGTTTCAATTTAGTCTATTTATATTAAATAATAATGTTACATAACACACATTTAACCAGTTTAAATTACAATCAAGTACTCATGAAAATACCATGTGAATACTTTTGCTATAATAAGTTTATCTCAGCTGATCTAAAGAAGTACAACCCAGCCATAGGAAATACTATCCTGACTTCGTCATACTGATATTCTAGTCAGAATGTAAGTCCGAAACTGCTCCGTAGGTTGATTATGAGGGGTGTCTTAACCGAACCAGGAAAATAAAACTGCACTCAATTGGATAGTCGGCAGACCTACGTGTACAACCAATCAGAGCAACGCAGTAAGTCAACTACTTTGCATAGCGCAGTTTTCAACTATAGAACTTACTTATTTTAGAAGTAAAATAACGAGTGTTGCTTCTTTTACTTGGTCCTGCATGAGTGCAACCAAAGAAAAAAACACAACGACCACAGGCTTTTAATTACGTCCCATCATCTTAGCGACCATCAGAGCCAGCTGATAAGTTACACTTTTGCCGAATCATGTAGAAAGGACGGCAAAAATGTCTTTCCGATCGACAAATGTTTTCTGTTCGTCTATTAAAATGAATGCGCTGTAAATTTATTTTTCAACAGACGCGACAGCGGAATCTATACATCTCAATTCTCCAGCTGCAGTCATCTTTGAGGGAAACCAGTTAACTAGCAGATCATCTGTCTATCATCGTATAAAGCCTGGCAATCTGATTGGCCCGTTCATTTTTTGACTGATCATAATTTCTCCTCAACGGATCGAGTCCAGACCGAACTTCCTGACCAAGAAATGTTGTGGGCGGAGTTCAGGCTGGCATCCAGGCTAAGGAAATACAATAATAAAAGAGATTTTTTTTTTTGATGCACACATAAGCAGTGTGTAAGTGTAGCAGAAGCATAACTGGCTAGCATTGTGCTTTTAAACATTTTCAACTCAACAAATCTGAGCTCTCCTTTAAAAGCCTTGAAATGTCCTCAGAGCTATAGATGTTGAGTTGGAGAGTCACATGTGGGTTTGCGTTACAGTGTTTCTAATCAGTTCTGCAGTTACTCATCATGAGGAGAACATGTGTATGTAGGGTGGAACGGAAAATGGCTGGCCGCAATTGCACTGCTCAGTGTGATCCTTATCCCTTACTCTGGTGAATCTAAGGCAAACTAATCTGCAGCAGAGTATTGCTACTGTATCAGGCATACCTTACTGGGACTGTACAAACTCTCCAGCATTTCTCCACCGTTGTCCACCCAGAAAGCAACATAGTGTCGGCCCAGATGAGGGCCACATCTGGTACATGTGGATTCAACGGTTACCAGATGTGGGCCGGATTTGGGTCAACATGTTGCTGTCTGGGCAGGCATGTTTAGGCAAATTTACTTCGCACAGACCAACACATTCTCATCCCAAGACGTCATCTAACTGACGCTTTTGAGCATACGTCAACATTCGACGTTTTAGGGTACCCTTTAACGTCAGTTAGATGACGATCCTAGGGCGTCATCTAACTGACGCTTTACTTTCGCGGGTTGGTTTAGGTCTGGGGTAGGGTTAGGATTAGATAGCGTCATCTAACTGACGTTAAAGGGTACCCTAAAACGTCGGATGTTGACTTATGGTCGAAAGCGTCAGTTAAATGACGCCTTGGGATGAGAACGGGCTGCACAGACAGACCTCGAACAACAGCAACAGACACTTCGTTGGGTTTTGACAGATCAGTGTATATAACCCGTCACCATCTGTTGGCATTGGTTGGTGCTTGTTTTTACCGAATGAACAGCGACATACTGTAATCTGGCGATTGTCCCAGATGGTCAGCGTTGGTCGGTGTAGTGTGAATTGGTTTTTTAATTAAATTAATTTAAGTATCTAAACATACATTCCGGAAGAGTAGGTCCATCTAATCTTCTAATTAACCACCAGAGCATTCATGCAGCCACTTATATTACTCTGGTGTCGCTGTTCCGGCAACCCGCCACCTCCCCAACACCACATCTATACTTTAGGTGTTTTGCCTGTAATCATCTCCATGCATAGTAGTCCCATAGGGGGTATATTAGAGCTTGAGTTGACCCTCCTCCATTGCAGACAGCGAGATAAACTTGTTTAACCATCTATCTCATCGATCACTTTTTTTGCCAATGGTTTTGGGTGGTCCATGGCCATGCCATCTGAGGCAAACTGGTAACTTATTCAGCCAATAAAATGGAGAGAAAATAAACAGCAGAAGCTGATCAGCCAATGAAAGAGCAGAAACATGAAAGAGAATCTTCCTCTCCAGTCCACAACTCTTTGAGAGAGACCTTCAGCCAAACCTCACAGTACCCGAGGACCTCAAGCTGTCAGGCGCCCCACGAATGTAATGACTTACACATACAACTTACGTTACCACATTTACGCCTCATCAGCAGGGGATGGAGGGAGTCCTGCAGGAATAGGTCTGCCAAACGTGAAAATTTGGTCGTCATTTATTTACTTAAATATCTAGTTGTCAAGTTCTTCAGTTAAATTATTTAAATTCAGGAAGTTTGTGGGATTTTTTTTGTGAGGAATTGTTGCTAAATATACTTGCATGTCATTCAGAAGTTCTTAGTTATGTATATATTAGAAGTATCTGCCTTATTACCTAGCCATATGTTGGCATAGAGCAAATGTAAGAGTTAAAAATAAGTGTTCAGTTCAGATCATTTGGTCTAGGAAGAATTTGATTTAAAAAAAAGATCTCTGACTTTTGATCTTAGCCTCTGGTATCTTGGCAATTCTGAGCACAGTTTGTTGAAATCTCATCTGGAACTCTAGAAGACACACATTACTAGGTTCTTTTTCTCAGGAAACAAAGCAGGAGAATCTGTCCAGAATAAACATCTGAAATATTAAAGAGACCACCTTTTCTAGTATTTCCGTCTTTGCATTTGATTCTTTCACAACTCTTTCAGTGAGATTATGCTTATTCTTTATCACAATCACAAGGTTGTTTTAGGTTTGTCTGCCAGCTTGAATCATAATAAGTAGAGTCTGTGAACCTTGCCAGCCATAAACCAAAGTGCTGCTGTTCATTTTTCCAGCACCCTTGCATTCAGCCATCTCAAATTTCCCAGATTAACTTTTCCTCCGAAGGCAAAACCACAGGTAAAAAAGCTCTGAAGAGACTACACATGAGCACTTGGCGGATGAATGCCCTGTCACAGGCTGTCACGCCGGGCAGGGAAGATGAGTACAACGATGAATGTTAAATGTGTTAATGAGAAAAGTAGCAGCACGTGCCTGTGCTCGCCTGCACTGCCAGAAGCTGCAAACCAAGTTTGAGAAACAGAAGAAGAGAAAGAAAGGACCTATCCCTTACCTGGAGTGATCTCTCCTTCACTCTGATCCCCAGAATCTGAGTCCATCTCTCCACAAATAACCTCTCCTCTTTTCACTTCACTTCCTCTGTTTCTGTCTGTCTCTGTCCTGTCCCTCCACACTGAAAACTGTTTTCTTGAGCTCAAATGCACCAGCCCTCCGTGTTCAGAATTTAACTGACTCAATGAGTGCGCGCTATTTGCCGAGCGCCTTTTTTGTGCAGTCAGACTGCCTTCTTTCACTGACACTCTCTTGCTTCCACTTTCTCCTCTCGTTTGCTTCCTTCTCCTCCCTCCCTCCTCTCTCTCTCTCTCTCTCTCTCTCTCTCTCTCTCTCTCCCTCTGTCCCTCCTCCCCTTTCTCCACTCGGCTCGACATTGTGATGCCTACAAAAACATCAAGAGGAGGAAAACTCTGTCTCTCTCTCTGAGTCGATCTCTTGCCTGTGAGGAATGTTTTGTATGTTGGGGAGGTTTTTGCATTCAGGCATTTTAGTATGCTATTTAAGAGGCAAGTCCAGTTTTTAATGTTCAAAAATGCTTTTTGGATGGACAAGTGAACGGCAAATGACAGCAGTGCGGAAGGTGCTGCTTTAAAGTGTCTTTGCCACACCATCCAGCACAAAAAATTAATAGAGTAACAGTGAATGTGCCAGCAACAGGTCAAATTTTTGGCTGGTTAGTGTGGTTCAGTTAGCCCCTGCTGGTAGATGACGTAACTACAGCATAATGGGTCAAAAAGCATCTTTCTTCTTTGATGGTCATTTGAAGTAGCTTTTTATCATGATGAAAGAATTCCTTTTTCATTGTATAAGGTAGAGGCTGTATAGTTTTCTGATTTTCCCCCCTGTCTTCTGCCTTTGACACACAGAGCTCTGTATCATCACTGGGTACGGGTTTAGAACTGGGTGTTCTCATTGTGTCATTTTAGATTGCTTAGTCATAAATATAAAGCTTGAATTCAGATTGATTTCTGTCCCTCCAAAAGTAATAACTGCACATTATTTTATAGATATATCCAAAGACTTTGTGCCACATTCATAATGTCCCATGCATGGCAAATGCAAATAGAGGTCATATCTTCTTGAATGGAAAGACAAATATCATTTGTCGGAATTACATTTCTATAACATTTAAAATTTAACATTTTAAAGTTGTCCCAGACTTGTGACAAGTTGAAAGCGGATTAATCTTCCCAAATATATGTTGTTGACCAAAAAAACATTGGGGGGACTGAACACAACCATTTCAAATTTGTCTTTGTTTAAAGATATTTTTTTTCGCTAACCAATTTTTGACCTTGTCCAAGCACATACATACAAACATACATACATATATATTGTTATATTTGACGGCAGTCATTCGTGAGGGGCTGTTGTCTTTACTTTCATTTTGTATTTTTTTTGTTTTGTTATTGAATTCTTTGAATTTTCACAGATTCCCATCTCCTTTTTCCCATAACCTCTGAACTGCATTACAGAGACCACAGATGAGATGAGCAACAGAGAATTGATTCCCTAAACCTTCCTTAAAGACCATTCCTTTTAAACCCAACCATGACTCTATAATAAATATATCAATGTAGAGTGCTCAACAGTATCAAATGTGGCAGATAAATCTAAAAGAACTAGGATCATATAAAATATTATTTAACACTCTTAGAAGAGTAGATTCTGTGCCATGAGCAAAACCGGATTGAAAAATTTCATAAATACAATTACAGTTCGCCAATAGAGTTATTACTGAATTACTGAAAATAATATACTTTAAAAGAATACACATAAAAGTATACTGAATGGCATGTTTTCTGGCACTTGATTGTATTTTGGTAACAATTAAATAAAAAGGCATACTACATAAAACTAAATTATGTATGATTAAAGAGTACAGCTGAATGTCCTGATAAATATTTATGGTAAACTAAAATATACTTTAAAGTCATATATTGTAAATTTTATTTAGGCCTATCTATACACTCACCTAAAGGATTATATGAACCCCTTATATGACCCTCTTTCGCCTTCAGAACTTCCTTAATTCTACGTGGCATTGATTCAACAAGTTGCTGAAAGCATTCTTTAGAAATGATGGCCCATATTGCATGTTACAGTTGATGGAGATTTGTGGGATGCACATTCAGGGCATGAAGCTCCCGTTCTACCAGATCCCAAAGACGCTCTATTGGGTAGAGATCTGGTGACTGTGGGGGCCATTTAGTACAGTGAACTCATTGTCATGTTCAAAAAACCAATTTGAAATGATTCGAGCTTTGTGACATGGTGCATTATCCTGCTGGATGTAGCTATCAGAAGATGGGTACATGGGGGCCATAAAGGGATGGACATGGTCAGAAACAATGCTCAGGTAGGCCATGGCATTTAAACGATGCCAAATTGAGACTAAGGGTCTAAAGTGTGCCAAGAAAACATTCCCCACACCATTACACCACCACCAGCAGCCTGCACAGTGGTAACAAGGCATGATAGATCCATGTTCTCATTCTGTTTACGCCAAATTCTGACTCTACCATTTGAATGTCTCAACAGAAATTGAGACTCATCAGACCAGGCAACATTTTACCAGTCTTCAACAGGTAAAGGTAACCTGGTAACTTGTAACTGGTAACTTCAACTTCTGCTGTTGTAGCCCATCTGCTACGATGTGGCTTCACAAATGCTTTGCTGCATACATCGGTTGTAACGAGTGGTTATTTCAGTCAAAGTTGCTCTTCTATCAGCTTGAATCAGTTGGCTCATTCTCCTCTGACCTCCAGCATCAACAAGGCATTTTTGCCCACAGGACTGCCACATACTGGATGTTTTTTTCCCTTTTCAAACTATTCTTTGTAAAGCCTATAAATGGTTGTGTGTGAAATTCCCAGTAACTGAGCAAATTGTAAAATACTCAGATCAGCCCGTCTGGCACCAACAACCATGCCACGCTCAAAATTGCTTAAATCACCTTTCTTTCTCATTCTGACATTCAGTTTGAAGTTCAGGACATTGTCTTGACCAGGACCACACCCAGGACCACACCCCGGTTGATTAGATAATTGCGGGCCACTACGAATATCTTGTCATGCCCTTCGGTCTGTCCATCTCACCCGCTGTCTTCCAAGGCTTCATGAATGAGATATTCCGTGACTACCTGAATCAGTTCGTCATCATTTATATTGATGACATCCTCATTTACTCGGCCAACCTGTCAGAGCACGTCCATCATGTTCAACTGGTCCTCCGGCGCCTGAGAGAACATCACCTCTATTTGAAGCTGGAAAAGTGCGATTTTCATCAGTCAACCATTCAGTTCTTGGGCTAAGTCATCACCCCTCATGGTATCACCATGGACCAGAGGAAGGTGGACGCTGTCACCAACTGGCCTCCACCCACCAACCTCAAAGAACTGCAAAGTTTCCTGGGATTTGCTAATTTATATCGCCGCTTCATCAAAGGTTTCAGTCAGATCAGCGCACCCATCACGTCACTACTCAAACATGGGGCCAAGTCTCTGTCCTGAACCACGGATGCCATCAACGCCTTCGAAGAATTGAAAAAGACCTTCAGTTCAGCTCCTACCCTTGTCCTTCCCGAACCAGATCTCCCCTTCCTTGTGGAAGTTGACGCTTCCACCTCTGGTGTAGGAGCTGTCCTTTCCCAGCGGCAGGGGAACCCACCCCGACTCCATCCATGTGCCTTTTTCTCCAAGAAACTGTCCCCGGCAGAGCAGAATTATGATATCGGCAACCTGGAACTGCTGGCCATCAAACTCGCCTTGGAAGAATGTAGACACTGGCTGGAGGGAGCACAACATCCCTTCGTGGTCATCACCGATCATCGTAACCTGGAATATCTCCGTGAAGCTCGCCAACTCAACCCTCGCCAAGCCCGCTGGGCACTCTTCTTCACTCGCTTCAATTTCACCGTTACTTACCGCCCTGGACATAAGAATATCAAGGCTGACGCTCTATTCCGCCAGTTCCAACCGGATTCCAGTCCGTCTGTTTCTGAGACCATCCTCCCTCCAGCCGTAGTGGTCAGTCCCATTCAGTGGAGCCTGGACGACCACATCGCCGAAGCCACCCAAACTGAACCTGCTCCACCGGGAGGTCCTGAGGGACGGATTCATGTACCCTCACAACTATGTCTGTCCCTCATGGACTCAGTTCATACATCTCCAGGCTCTGGACACTCAGGCAGCCACCAAACCCTCTCGCTCATACAACAACGCTACTGGTGGCCTAATATGACCCAGGATGTCTCCCGATATGTCAAGAGCTGCTCAGTCTGTGCCATGGCCAAAGTTCCTCATCGACTCCCGGAGGGGAAACTTGTACCACTGCCTGTACCCACACAACCCTGGTCTCACCTAGGGGTTGACTTCATCACCGACCTGCCTGCTTCAGACTCACACACTTGCATCCTCGTAGTAGTAGATCGTTTCTTGAAAGCCTGCAAACTCATTCCACTACCTGGGTTACCCACCGCCTTTGAGACTGCTGAGACCCTGTTCCACCAAGTATTCCGTCACTTCGGCATCCCCAAAGATATTGTATCTGACCGTGGACCCCAGTTCATTTCTTGTGTCTGGAAAGCCTTCTTCAACCTCCTGGGTGTCACAGTCAGCCTCACTTCCGGATACCATCCGCAGTCCAATGACCAGACTGAGCGGAAGATCCAGGAGATCGGGAGATACCTGCGGTCACATTGCCATGACCACCAGGACTGCTGGAGTCGCTATATGCCGTGGGCTGAGTATGCGCAGAATCGCCAATCCACCACCAGCCTCACCCCTTTTCAGTGCATACTCGGTTTCCAGCCTCCATTATTCCCCTGGTCCGGTGAACCCTCTAGCGTCCCTGCAGTCCATCACTGGTTCCAGACAAGCGAGAGGGTCTGGGACTCAGCACATGTCCATCTTCAGCGGGCTGTCCGGAGACACAAGAGCCAAGCCGATGCCAGACGTTCCTCAACACCCCAATATCAACCTGGGCAATTGGTGTGACTCTCGACTTGGGACATTCGTCTCCGGCAGCCCTGTCGTAAGCTGAGTCCCAGATACATAGGTAGGTCCGTTTGCCATACAGAGGCAGATCAACGAAGTCACCTACCGGTTATCACTCCCTGCTCACTATCGTATTTCACCGTCCTTCCATGTGTCTCTGCTCAAGCCATACACTAATCCTCTCACTCCTTCCTCCCCAGGGTCTCGTACTGAAGACGTGCCTCCTCTTCCCGTGGACCCTGAGGACGATAACATCTATCGAGTCCACGAGATCCTTGACTTCCG